AGCAGCTGGGAAGTAAAGTAGGAATGAAATGGTAAAGAAATGAATAGCTGGGGGGCAACTTGGGGTCAAGGAGGGAGGTACATCCCTAAATGCTATAATTTTACCTTTTTTTTTTTTTTTTGGTACATGTCTTTTAAATCTCTTTTAATCCATAAATTCCCAAAGAGGGGCTCTTTTAAAAATGGAAGATAGAAAGCATATTTGCACGTCAATGGAGATGGTCCAGCAGAGAAAAAGGGAGAGGTGAGCTACAGAAGGGAAGTGTTTGAGGGAATGTGCTTCAGAGAATAAGCAGAAGAGGGGGCCTGTGATAGGAACCGGGGACACTCTCATAATGGGAAGGAGAGTAGAGGATGTGGCTAACCTGACTCACCGGTCAGGCAGGTTGGTAGCTGTGGTGGGGGAAGGTGGCGTTCTTCATGAAAAAGGAGGTGAGGCCACCAGCAGCTTCCTCCACCACTGACACCCACTGCAAGATAAACAATCGCCAGGCCCCCTAAGCCTCTCCGCCTCCTGTTGTCAGTGGACACTGCCCTGAGGATGCCACTTCCCCTGTAGCTTTCTCAGGGGAAGGATGCCAATAACCCTCCACTCTGCCCCACACACATGCCACATGGGAGTGGAGTGGGTACCCCCGACCCTTCTCCTTCCAAGACATTCAGTTTTCTCCTTCTCAATGCAAACAAGCAAACGCAAACAAAACCCCAGTGCCTGGCACAGTTCTTGGCACATCACAGATAATCAGTAAATATCTGTTTAAAGAAACAAACCAATCCTGCCCTTTTGAGATCAGTCCCTGTCACCCACTAAACTCTTCTCCCCGCAGTCACTCAGGCTCCTCTTGGACACAGGCTGCTTCTCCGTGCTGACTGCTGCCAGCATCCTGGGGCTTCACTCTGGTTTTGCAATTTGGTATACGCAAACTCAAAGAAATTACTCTCTAATCCTCCCCGGTCACCCACTGTTTAGGATCACATGGAGGACCCGTGGGAACTTTCCTTCCCTCCCTCGGGCAGAGTTTCATTGGAAACTGAAGGCGTGCGAATTTCTTCTTTCTCTCAACTTCCGGTCTAAGCGGACCATGTGAAACAGTGCCCTCTAGTGGGCAATTATTGCATACGCATTCTCTACATTTGGAGTTACATGAAGACTATTTTGAAGGGCCTGGTTAAAAAAATAATAATAATACATTCATTCAACAGACCTTTTTTCTTGTGCGCATCTGTTATGAGTCTGGCATATCTGAAATGACCTTGAGGCACGTAGTTTCACTGTTATCACATGATCCTATAACAAACCAAATGCAGTCACAGAGTCGCATTCCCACTGCCTCTTGCACACTGTTAGCTGTTACTGAATAAATGCAGAAGGACTTGAACTTAGGGCGATATTGGAGGAAGCTGTGGCCGGTTACAACTCCGGAGGACTTCATCAGCATAAGAGGTTTTGTTTTGGTCGGGTGCAGTGGCTTGCGCTTGTGATCCCAGCACTTTGGGATGTGGAGGCAGGAGGATCACTTGAGCCTGGGAGTTTGAGGGCAGCCTGGGCAACATAGGGAGACCCCATCTCTACAAATAATTAACTGGGCATGGTGATCTGTGCCTGTAGTCCCAGCTACTTGGGAGGCCTAGGTGGGAGGATGACCTGAGCCTAGGAGGTTGAGGCTGGAGTGAGGCATGACTGTGCTATTGTGCTCCCGCCTGGGCAACAGAGGGTGAAACCCTGTCTCAAAAAAGAACAAAGTTGTTTTTTTTTTTTTCCACAGACTTCCACTGAGCACCCATTATGTTCCAGGTCCTGAGTTGGAATAAGATGAATCAGACCCAGTACCTGCCTTGGAGTTGTTGGGAGGTCTGGAGGAGAAAGGCATAGAGGCGAGTAATGACTAATGCAGTGCGTATGTGCAGTCCTCACTCACTTGCTCACTCATTCACTCAACAAACATGCGACGAGGACCTAACATGCTAGGGCTGTGCTGAGGATATAAGGATAAAAGCCATGATGGTTGACCTGAAACTGCACACAGTCTATGTAAGGGGAAGGTACCATTTTAGAGAACACAGCTCTGATGGAGAGGGGCTAAAGGGGGGGGCAGGGTGGTTCAAAGGAAGAAGGGCTGACATTTGGGCAGGGATTGAAGCCAGGGTCAGGGAAGGGCTTAGACAGGCAATGCTTAAGCTGAGAAGTGATGGATGGATGAGGAGGAGTGGGCATGTTTGCCACACAGAGGTGGGGTGGGGAGAGGAAGGTCTCAGTGCTACCCAATCTAATCTTTGGGATCGTTTGATTAAGCTTCCTAACATGATTCTACTACCAGGTCATCCCCTTGCTTCAATGCCAGTGACAACCCTCTGGTGCAGGGTCTGACTATTACTTAGGTCCCTGTACCACTCCACCCCTTCACTGGCAACTCCTCTCCAGCCAGGACACTCTGCTCCAGCTGCTAACAGATTTTAGCATAGCATTATTTCTCAACATACAAGGCCCACATATGCACACAGAGCTTGCAGGGGTCAAAAAATACAAAACTGACAATGTTACTGAAGGAATAATATGCCTGACATTCAGTTTAAGCACTGTTGCCCAAAAATAACCTAGGTTGGAAGTGGCCTCCAGAGCTTTGTTGATCTTCCCCAGGATCTCACTTGTGTACCTGAACCTCAGTGCCTGGCTGCTCCTCATGCTCTCCTCCCCAGGCTTCCTGAACCTAGGGCTCAGCCTGTCATCCTAGACACAGGAGTCCCTGTCCCTATACTAATGGCCAGACCATTCCTGATTACTGGGCCTGTCTGTCCTGGTCTCTTGGGTCCCGCCCACTCCGACATCCAAACACTGCCTCATTCTCCTCACCAGGCAGTTCCCTGTGCTGTCCATGCTCTCTTCCTGGGGCTATGTACCCAGCTGGACCAGCACATTCTTCTTTTGTCATTTGAACCACCCCAAATGCCTCCTAATTGGCCTCCAGCCTCAAGTGGCTCCCTGTGGCTCTGGCTCACCTGGCATAGCACCACCCAGGCCATCTTCGGAGGCACTGCACTCCCTCAGCCCTCACCTGTGCACAGCTCACTTTTCAGTGGCTCCACGCTGCCTACTGGAGAGACTGCCACCTACCCACATGGCATTCAAGGTGCCCCTCCATTGCTCCTAGCTTACCTTTCCTAGACCTTTACCATCCCTTTTCTAAGTGACCTACCCATTATTCCCAGGACACACCTTGCACTTCCCTGTCTGCCTTCCTTTCTACCATCCCCCTTTCCCGAACGACCTCCTCTCCTCCTTTCGACCTTCCCAAATCCTCCCTATTGTCCACAGCTCAGTTCAAACACCACCGTCTCGGTGAACCCTTCTTTAATCTCCTCCTGTTGAAAATAGAATCTCCTTCCTCTGAACCACTATAGGAAAAGGGAAGGAAATTATATCGTTTAAATATCTGCCATGCGCTATGTGTTAAAAGCATAAACTTTAGAGTCAGGCAAATCCGGCTAGAATCCAATAGCTGTGTAACCTTGGGAAGCATACTTAATCTCTCTGGGCTTTATTGCTGTATCTTGAAAAACATAAAACTACATATCCTTACCATTCATTCATGGAAACATTTGAATACCTAGTATGTACCAGGTTTTGTACTCTTCTGGTTATTTTGTTGTTACTGTTGTTGTTTTGTTGTTGTTGTTTTGAGACAGAATCTTGCTCTGTCGCCCAGGCTGGAGCGCAGTGGCGAGATCTCGGCTCATTGTAACCTCCGCCTCCTGGGTTCAAGTGATTCTTGTGCCTCGGCCACTCTAGTAGCTGGGATTACAGGCACATGCCACCACCCCCAGCTAATTTTTTTGTATTCTTAGTAGAGACGGGGTTTTGCTGCGTTGGCCGGGCTGGTCTCAAACTCCTGGCCTCAGGTGATCTGCCTGCCTTGGCCTCCCAAAATGGTGGGGCTACAGGCTTGAGCCACCATGCCTGGCCTCTTATGGTTATTTTGAGAAGTAAATGAGGTGATGTATGGAAAGTGGCGGGCACACAGAAGTTCTCAATAAATAGGCCGGGTGCGGTGGCTCATGCCTGTAATCCCAGCACTTTGAGAGGCTGAGGTGAGAGGATCGCTTGAGGCCTGGAGTTCAAGACCAGCCTGGGCAACATAGTGAGACCTCGTTTCTGCAAAAAATTAAAAAGTTAGATGGACGTAGTGGTGCACACCTGTGGTCCTAGCTACTTGGGAGGTTGAGGAGGGAGGATCTCTTGAGCCTAGGAGTTTGAGGCCACAGTGAGCTATGATGGCACCACTGCACTCCAGCCTGAGCAGCAAAGCAAGACCCTGTCTCAAAAAAAACCCAGGAAAAACAACCAACCAAATTAATACTATGACTATTCAGTTTAGTTTCTTAGAAGAAGGGCATTCCGGCCGGGCGCGGTGGCTCAAGCCTGTAATCCCAGCACTTTGGGAGGCCGAGACAGGCGGATCATGAGGTCAGGAGATCGAGACCATCCTGGCTAACATGGTGAAACCCCGTCTCTACTAAAAAATACAAAAAACTAGCCGGGCGAGGTGGCAGGCGCCTGTAGTCCCAGCTACTCGGGAGGCTGAGGCAGGAGAATGGCGTAAACCTGGGAGGCGGAGCTTGCAGTGAGCTGAGATCTGGCCACTGCACTCCAGCCTGGGTGACAGAGCGAGACTCCGTCTCAAAAAAAAAAAAAAAAAAAAAAAAAAAAGAAGAAGGACATTCCTCAGGGTGATTTCTGTTTAGCCAGGAAGCACCACATAAGACTGGGAGCCAGAGCCAGCTCTGGACCCAGGCAGGTTCTTGCAACCATTCAGGCACCCTAGGCACCCTGTGGCTGACGCAAGGCATAGGTGTGACTGACATTTTCTGAACCAGCGTCTTCCATCTGCCAAGGCTGTCCCAGACACTCCACATCAAGGCTCTTTGTGACTAAGAGAAAGCTTTTGAGAGCTGATACACCTGGCTCTCGGTACCCCTTTCTGCAATCTAGAGTAGCCTCCCTACCTTCATACTGGACTTCCAGGTGCATCGTGCCCAGCACCTTCAGCACGCAGTCGACGATGCTGGGGTGTGTGGTCCCAATGATTGACTGACCAGACAGACAACAGGACAAGGTGGTTAGTCTTTTTTTTTTTTTTAAGATGGATTCTTGGCTGGGCGCGGTGGCTCACGCCTGTAATCCCAGCACTTTGGGAGGCCAAGGCGGGTGGATCATGAGGTCAGGAGATCGAGACCATCCTGCCTAACAAAGTGAAACCCCGTCTCTACTAAAAATGCAAAAAATTAGCCAGGCGTGGTGACGGGTGCCTGTAGTCCCAGCTACTCTGGAGGCTGAGGCAGGAGAATGGCGTGAACCCGGGAGGCGGAGCTTGCAGTGAGCCGAGATCGCCCCACTGCACGACAGAGCCATTTCAAAAAAAAAAAAAAAAAAAGATAGATTCTCACTCTGTCACCAGGGCTGGAGTGCAGTGGTGCGATCTTGGCTCACTGCAACCTCTGCCTGCCGGGCTCAAGCGATTCTCCTGCTTCAGCCTCTGAGTAGCTGGGATTACAGGTGCCCGCCACCACGCCCAGCTAATTTTATTTTTTTAAGTAGAGACGGGGTTTCACCATGTTGACCAGGCTGGTCTCGAACTCCTGACCTCAAGTGATCCGCCCATCTCAGCCTTCCAAAGTGCTGGGATTACAAGCGTGAGCCTGTGCCCACCCAAGCTGGTTAGTCTTTAGATCTTGTCTACCTGGAAGAAAGGAACTTCCAAACAGACTTCCAAACAGCCAGGCGCCTGGGTGAATGGGGGAGAGGAAGGGAGGGCAGTGGTGAGTCAGTGGGCCTAGGCTGAGGCTGCCACTGAACTCTCTAACTCAGGAGGCATTAAATGAGGCTACCTGCCAGAGGTGCAGGAACAAAGCTGGCTACTCTGACTGGGGGAGAGAGGATACAGGGCAAGGAGAATGGAACTCATCCAAGATCCTAAAATCTTCCCTTCCTCAGGAACCTCATCCCATCAGACAGCCCCCTTTTTCTCTCTCTTCAAACTTTACCTATGCATTGGTTCTTTTCTTTTAGCATTAAACATCCTTAAGCTCATCCATATTTAACATCGTCCTTCAACTCTGTCTTCTCCTTTGCTATTGCTCTTTTTTCCCTTTACATCTAAGCTTCCCAAGAGAAGCCACTTCTTCATCCCCTATTCATCCTTTGACAGGCTGCTGTGATTTAATTTTTCCTGCCATAGGCAGTCTCCTAATTCACCAAAACTTTTCCTGCTGGGACCATCTTTCTATTCTACCCTTACTGACTCCCTTTGTTGCATCTGACCCAGCTGATCATGTCCTCCTTATGGAAACTCTTTTCCCTTGATTTTCCAGCCCCATTTTTTCTGTTTTCCATCTATCACTGTCATTGCCCTTTTTCTTTTCTTTTCTTTCTTTCTTTCTTTTTTTTTTTTTTTTTGAGATGGAGTCTCGCTCTGTTGCCAGGCTGGAGTGCAGTGGCGTGATCTCGGCTCACTGCAACCTCTGCCTCCCGGGTTCAAGCAATTCTCCTGCCTCAGCCTCCCGAGTAGCTGGGATTACAGGCACACACCACCACGCCCAGCTAATTTTTGTATTGTTAGTAGAGATGGGGTTTCACCATGCTGGCCAGGCTGATCTCGAACTCTTGAACTCATGATCCGCCCACCTCGGTCTCCCAAAGTGCTGAGGTTACAGGCCTAAGCCACTGCACCCGGCCCTATCATTGCCCTTTTTTGAAGAGGCAGAGTGGTATGTGGAAAGAGTAAGGACTTAGGAGAGGGCGGATTTAAATTCTTGCTTGGTAAACACCTTTTATTTATCATGTGGCCTTGGATAAGTCACTTAACACACTTTCCTGAGCTCAGTTCCACCATCTTTGAAAAAAGGGTGAATAGTATCTGCCTCCAGATACTAAGAGGCAGAAGACTAAGAGAGAGAGTGTAGCTACGCCCCTAACACAGTGGCTGGCATGTATGAGGCACTTAAGAAATGGGAACTGTGGAAATAAGATAATAATGATAATCTGATCTGTTTTTAAAATTGTTTTAGAGACAGGATCTCACTCTATCACTCAGGCTGCAGTGCAGTGGTGCCATCATAGCTCATTGCAGCCTCAAACTCCTGGGCTCAAGCGATCCTCCCACCACAGCCTCCTGAGCAGCTGGGACTATAAGCACATGCCACGGCAGCCAGTTATTATTATTTTTGAATTTGTCTTTTTTTTGGGGGGGGGGACAGATCTCACTTTTTTGCCCAGGGAATACAGTGGCATGATCTTGGCTCACTGTAACCTCTGCCTCTCAGGCTAAACGATCCTCTGAACTCAGCCTCCCAAGTAGCTGGGATTACAGGCGTGTGCCACCACGCCCAGCTAATTTTTGTACTTTTAGTAGAGACGGGGTTTCACCATGTTGGCCAGGTTGGTCTCAAACTCCTGACCTCAAGTGATCCGCCCACTGCAGTCTCCCAAAGTGCTGGGATTACAGGCCTGAGCCACTGCACCCAGCCTGATGGTTCATCTTAAAGCCACTTTTTAAGCCTCTATCCCCTCTTTACTAGGCACAATGTCTTCATACGCTCACCATGCCCCAAATTCGGTTTCACTTGCATCCAAGGGTACTGTCTGAGAGAAGGGCAAAAGCCAACAAGGAAAAAAAAAAGCCTTCCCCAGCACTGGAGATCTGGCCTCTTCACTTACATGCTGTCTACAAATGCACCATTATTCTTTCCCTATCAAATCGACTCCTTTAATCTTTTCTACAGCCCTTTCATCATCCTTGTTGCTTGTCTCAACCACTTTTAAGTCTGCCAACATCTTTCTGATCCTTAAGTAAACAGGACAAATCACTCTGCTGGGAGTCATGAACTCTCTGCCCTACCTTGGCCTTCTGGAAGTAACACTGATTGAACAACAGACATGCAGTGGGAGGCTGAGCTCCGTTTCTCATGCCTGTGTGGAGTGCAACTGCGGAAAGTAATTGTAAGATTATTGTATCTGAATCAGAACCACAGGAGCATGCAGCCTTGGCTCACCTGGGCAGTCCTGATAGTCTGCAGGGACAGCTGCTGGGCTTTGGGGGACTCGCAGGGCAGCAAAGCTATTAGACCTTTATACACTTGATTTTGGTACTTGGGATTGCCGTGGACCAAAGAATCCAACAGAACCTGCACTTCCTCCTGGGTCTCTTCTGACTTAGACTTTGCCAAAAATTCTGCTATGGATCGTACACCTGAGCAAAGAAGAGAGGAAATTCTAAATTGGAAGGGCTTTATGAAAATAATCCCCACCCAAGATTACATAATATGAATAGGATTAATAGCTCTTCAACTAAGCCTGTTCACCCAAAGCAAAACTGAGGCTTGGTTCTGATGTTGCATCACTGTCTTGTTTACCTTAGAGCTATGTGGCTTTCAGCATAGGCATGTCAAAGTCTGTGTTTTAAAGTTTAAAATGGCTCTGCACAATTTACAAATAAAACGTGCATTTTTTATTGCTATATGATAACACTTTTTTTTTTTTTTTTGAGCTGGAGTCTCCGTTGCCTAGGCTGGAGTGCAGTGGCGTGATCTGGGCTCACTGCAAGCTCCCCCTCCCGGGTTCACGCTATCCTCCTGCCTCAGCCTCCCAAGTAGCTGGGACTACAGGCACCCGCCACCTCGCCCGGCTAGTTTTTTGTATTTTTTTTTTTTTAGTAGAGACAGGGTTTCACCGTGTTAGCCAGGATGGTCTTGATCTCCTGACCCAGTGATCCGCCCGTCTCGGCCTCCCAAAGTGCTGGGATTACAGGCTTGAGCCACCGTGCCCGGCCAATTTTTGTATTTTTAATAGAGACAGGATATCACTGTGTTAGCCAGGATGGTCTCGATCTCCTGACCTCGTGTTCTGCCCGCCTTGGCCTCCCAAATTACAGGTGTGAGCCACGGCGCCTGGCCATGATAACACTTGTATAGCACTCAGCAGTTTGCAAAATGGTTTTATGAATACTAACTCACTTAATCCCAGAAACCATACCAAGAGGAAGGTGTTACTCCCACTTTACGGATGAAGACACTGAGGCTTTGAGAGGCCATGGGGTAGACAGCCAGGAGAACCTTGATGAGAATGCAGGGTGGGAAGTGCTTTGGAAAAGGGAGATGTGAGTCAGGTGCGGTGGCTCACGCCTGTAATCCCAGCACTATGGGAGGCCGAGGCAGGTAGATGGTTTGAGTTCAGGAGTTCGAGACCAGCCTGGCCAACATGGTGAAACCCCGTCTGTATTAAAAATACAAAAATTAGCTGGGTCTGGTGGCATGCACCTATAGTCTCAGCTAATGGGGAGGCTGAGGCAGGAGAATCACTTGAACCCAGGAAGTGGAGCTTGCAGTGAGCCAAGACTGCGCCACTGCACTCCAGCCTGAGCTACAGAGTGAGACTCCAACTCCAAAAAAAAAAAAAAAGAAAAAGAAAAAGGAAGATATAGGGGGTGGTATCTCTTTTACATGCCTCACTTGGAGCACTTCATAGATTATATTACAATTATTGAGCCGGGTGTGGTGGCTCATGCCTATAATTCCAGCACTTTGGGAGGCAAAGTTGGGTGGATCGCTTGAGCTCATGAGTTCGAGACCAGTCATGGCTAACATGGCAAAACCCTGTCTCTACTAAAAATAACAAAGATTAGCCAGGCATGGTGGTGCTTGCCTGCAATTCCAGCTACATGGGAGGCTACGGCATGAGAACTGCTTGAACCTAGGAGGCAGAGGTTGCAGTGAGCTGATATTGCGCCACTGCACTCCAGTCTGGGCGATAGAGTGAGACTCTGTCTCAAAAAAGAAAAAAAACCAACTAGATTATTTACTTTTCTCACCAGACTCTAAACTCTCTGAGGACAGGGACTATATTGTATTCATTTTTGTATCCCTAGCACTTGGCATATATCTACCACACAGTAGGTATTCAATAATTTTATTTCAAATTTTTTTTTCCTTTTTTTCCTTTTTTTTTTTTTTGAGACAGAGTCTTGCTCTGTAGCCCAGGCTGGAGTGCAATGGCGCAATCTCAGCTCACTGCAACGTCCAGCTCCGGGGTTCAAATGATTCTCCTGCCTCAGCCTCCTGAGTAACTGCCATTATAAGCGCCCGCCACCATGCCCAGCTAATTTTTTTGTATTTTTAGTAGAGACGGGGTTTCACCGTGTTAGCCAGGATGGTCTCGATTTCCTGACCTTGTGATACGACTGCCTCTGCCTCCCAAAGTGCTGAGATTACAGGCGTGAGCCACTGCGCCTGGCCTAATTTTTGTATTTTTAGTAGAGAGGGGTTTTTGCCACGTTGGCCAGGCTGGTCTCAAATTCCTGACCTCAGGTGATCCACCCGCCTTGGCCTCCCAAAGTGCTGGGATTATAGGTGTGAAGCACTGCACCTGGCCTTCAATTTTATTTCTTGAGTTATTCATAATTCAATTTCTTTTTTCTTTTTTTTTTTTGAGATGGAGTTTCACTTTTGTTGCCCAGGCTGGAGTGCAATGGTGAGATCTTAACTCACTGCAACCTCCGCCTCCTGGGTTCAAGCAATTCTCCTGCCTCAGCCTCCCAAGTAGCTGGGATTACAGGCCCCCGCCACCGCACCTGGCTAATTTTTTTGTATTTTTAGTAGAGACGGGGTTTCTCCATGTTGGTCAGGCTGGTCTCAAACTCCCGACCTCAGATGATCTTCCCCCCTCGGTGTCCCAAAGTGCTAGGATTACAGGTGTGAGCCACCGGGCCCGGCCTCATAACTCAATTTCACAAAAGATATTGGGCCACAGCTCAATAAATCTTTGAATGGATGCCTGAAACAGGATATATTTAAAAAGGAGAAGTATTTCTAAAACCACTACTGAAAAATGTGACCAAATGATGAATCAGGAGAATCATAAATCTGGGTTTTCTAGTGGTGACATGAACAAGAGCACAAAAAGCTTCCTGTTCAACCAGTTCTATGATGTGTTTTTCCTATAGCAGTGGTGGGTTCTGCCACCATTTCATTGAGGTCCCTAGGGAGACACATCTTGTCATACACAGTACCCACCATAGCTTTCACAAATGAGCTCCTTGTACGTCCTGCCAGAGTTTGCAATAACCTGAAGTAGTTTGACAGATTCCTTCTTGGCCTCCTCCTTGATCTTCTCCAGCCCAAGTATTTCCAAGAGTGTCAGGACACCTCCAACCTCAAGAAATTCTATAAGGTACCGATTACTGTCCAGAGGGATAGAAAAGTAGAAATAAGATTCTTGTCAAGTTCCTTTGCACTGAGCTTTCAAAGAGATCCCAAGGTCCCCTTTCACATACTTTGCCCTCCTATCCAGGAAATGTCCATAGGTCAAGTGACACAAGAGTGTGGAAATTCTTCCTTCCAGCAGGAAATGCTGGAATTCTATACTAGGGACAGTTTTTGGTTTTGCCATTCCAGCATCTCTTCTCCTTCTTCTTGTAATACCACCTCAACTGTCACTTGGGGAATCACCCCTCTGCCTCTCATGGGCCATGCAGTTTTGGTGGGGTGAGGAGGTGACAGGGTATGTCACCCTTCTGACTGTAGAAGTTGGTTTGCGGCTGGGCATGGGACCTAAATTGATCCAATGAGGCTCAAAGCCTAGGACTCTCTTGGGAAGCTGTGGAAAGGATCTGCTCTGTTTTTGGTGTGTCTGGAGCTCCTGAGGACCACGGCACACACAGGTCTATGAACACAGAGGAGAAGACACAGAAATGGGGAAAAAGACAGAGAGTGAGGCCAAGTACTGATGACATTGTTTGAGGCCTGGATCTAGTCAGGGCTGAAATATATATTTCTACCCTCTGGGCTTTTCCAGTTAAGTGAGCCAATAATTTTTCTTTTTCTAAGTCCAATATGAGGTGGTTTTCTGCAGTTGACAACCAAGAGAGTGCTGTCTAGTGAAGCGCCACTGGAGAGCACGGGATGGGGGAGCAACTAGAGCAGGAGCCCGGTGGACATTACCTCTGGGCCCATCCCGAGAGCTATGAGGAACCCACTGCTAACAGGAATCCGTGGCCCTGGGTGGTGTGAATGCCAAGGACATCATGAGCCTGAAATGCCACTGAGACCCCCAGAATCACGCTAGAACAGAACTCACCTGCTTACAGCTGATAAGAAGATGCCAATGGACCTGAGAAGCTTTTCTAAACATGAGTCAGTGACATAGCTGTATGACACGTTAAAGAGTGACTTTCAGGGTGGTTTTTCACACAGAAGCCAGAGTCTGTGCCTAATTTCTGGTACCACCCAGGGTTCAGGGTGGCCAAGTAGCTGAACTGTGCCCCTTTACCCTGAGAGGGGCTACCGGCTGAAGGGGAAGTGGCAATACACACAGGATGCAGGGGAAGGGGGTGCTGGCTGTTCACTGTTCTCCAGGAAGCTCCTCTGCGGCCGTTCAGCCACCTTGGCTCTTACAGGCTCTCTAGGGAATAAGGAGGCTCTGATGAATTAAGGACCCCTGGAGAAGGCTGGGAGTCAATATCCCAAACCTCTCTAAGCCATGCCCGTTGCAGCCTTGGTCTCAGCATAGTTCATGACTTTGTGCCTCATTCTTAGATTTCCCTAAAAAGAACCAGCTTCATCATTAATTCTCAATTTTTGTACTTGTTCAAAGTTTTACACTGGAGGTCGCTATCCTTATGAAGAATTGGCTTCCTAATAAGAATAATAGGAGATGGTGGAAAAATTAAACTCTGATTTAAACCAACCTCAGTATTTAATGTTATTTTTTAATGTGAGTCTTTGCAAAAAGCCTCATTATAATCAAGTACCCAAAGCACGCATCAGCTCGGATACAAGGTATGAAATCAAGCCACAACAGAAAAGGAACCAGTCAACAATTACTAGGCTCATAACACATCAGAGGCTCTTAGAACACTTAAGAAATTAGCTGAAATTATTGCAGCTCATGGAGGATGACTGAGAGCTTCCAAGGCTGATAAAGGCTAATGTAATGGGTTGGAGGTAATGGTGCTTTGTTTGGGCGGGGGGTGTGTGAAGCAAATTATCTCTGCTGCACCCTGGTTCCCAGGATGCCAATAGAAGTAGAGACAGATTGGCTCATTAGGAAAGGCTCTTTACTGCAAAAATAGTGTTTGCTCTGGAGCCAGGCTCCCCTGCCTGTTGCCGCCATAGCTGGGGCCAGGCATCAGCCCACGTGGTGGTCTTTTTATTCCTACATTGTCCCCACCCTGCTCCCTCAACCTCTGCCCCGTTCCTGCCTCAGTGCATTTTCCCCTTTTTCTTCAGGCTAGGCTGACAAACTTTTGTTTTTGTCACCTTCTGTTTCCTCTGTCCTGGGCTAGTCTTTTCTTTTCTTTTCTTTCTTTTTTTTTTTTTTTTTTTTTTGAGAGAGGGTCTCTGTTGCCCAGGCTGGAGCACAGTGGTGCAATCACGGCTCACTGTAGCCTTGAACTCCTGGGCCCAAGCAGTCCTCCTGTCTCAATCTCCTGAGTAGCTGGGACTACAGGTACGTGCCACCATGCCCAGTTATTTTTTTTCTGTATTTTTTTGTAGAGACACGGGTCTCACTATGTTGCCCAGACTGGTTTCGAACTCCTGGATTCAAGCAGTCCTCCTGCTTCAGCCTTCCAAAGTGTTGGGATTACAGGCGTGAGCCAGCATGCCAGCTTTATTTTTTGTTTGTTTTTTTCTTCCTTTTTGTGGAGAATGGAGTTTTGCTATGTTGCCCAGGCTGGTTTTGAACTCCTGGGCTCACGCAATCCTCCTGTCTCTGCCTCCCATAAGTACTGAGATTACTGGCGTGAGCCACCACACCCAGCTAGTCTTGTTTTCATAGTCACTCACTGTACATATTTCTGGTCTACTATTTCCAGGAATTGGTTCCAGAACACATTGTTTGAGTCCTGGATCTAGAGAACAGGGGATGAAGGAGCAATGTTGAGGCCACAAGGTCAGCAGTAGCTAACAAGTACCAGCTCCTGTTGTGTGCGGGGCACTGTGCTAACTGCTTTGCTTGCATTGTCTCATATAATCCTCACCATGGCCCTCCAGTGGGTGCTGTTAGCATTTCCATTTACTTACTAACATGAGGTAACAATCTCAGGTCAGTAACTTGTACAAGGTCCCACAGTGAACTGCTGGAACCGGGATTTGAACCTAGACAGTCTGACTCCGATTCTAACTCTTACTGTTAGGCTTTCTGGCTTGTAGACAAATGGATGGAGGGGGCTTTGCAGATGAACTCCCAGTGTGGTGTCGCAGGTGGAGCTGTGGTCTGCATGGTTCACTGAGTAGGAGACGCGATGGCGTACAGGCTTTCGGACAGACACCCAGTTATAACCTTATCTCTACCATTTGCTAGTAAATTACTCAACCTTTTCAAGGCTCATCTTTCTTACCTATAAAATAGAATAATACCAATCACCTATTAGGCTGGGTGTTAGGCCCAAATGAGATAATATTTGCACAGTATATAATCTCAGTGCCTAGAACATAAGAAGACTCAATAGGCTGGGCCCAGTGGCTCATGCCTGTAATCCCAGCACTTTGGGATCCCAGCACTGAGGAGGGTGAATCACTTGAGGTCAGGAGTTCAAGACCAGCCTGGACCACATGGTGAAACCCCATCTCTACTAAAAATATAAAAATCAGCTGGGCATGGTGGCGCATGCCTGTAATCCCAGCTACTCGGGAGGCTGAGGAAGGAGAATCGCTTGAACCCGGGAGGTGGAGGTTGCAGTGAGCCGAGATTGTGCCATTGCACTCCAGCCTGGGCAACAGAGTGAGGTTTTGTCTCAAAAAAAAAAAACAAAAAAAGACTCAATAAATGGTAACTAATTTTATCATTTAATATGCAAATCCTTAGTTTTACTGATCTATTCTGAAAGTTCAAGGTTGGAAAAAGGGTTTAGGCTTATATGGGACTTTGTGGTAGTCAATTTTGCAAAAAATAATGATGCTATGATGCTATTATATTGACTTGTTTTCCTCCAAAATCCACCGTAACTGGAGGGCTCAGTAGGAGAAGTCGGTTTTATTTATTTATTAATTCAAAACACTGTTATCACCTCAGGCAGTCTATTTTTTCTGTTGTATGACAAGGTTGCAAAAGGTTAGGGAATTATGAATAATTCTAGGTGTAGAACACTGATTCTACAACTGTTTAGTAAAAGCATGGTTCATTCATTTAGTAAGCACTGACTGAGTACCCACTAAATGTTAGGCACTATGATTGGCACTTGAGAAATGAAGAAGAATGATGTAATGCCTAATGTAATAAGTGCAATGACCAAGTAAGAAAAACACAGAATGCTCAGACACACTGACATTTCAGTGGGGGATTGGGGTGGGAGAGATCCTGCAATAGCAACTGAGAAATAGCAGAAGGTAGAAGAGAGGACAGCTGAAGAGGAGGCAGTGGTCAAGCAAGGCCAGGACTAGGGTGAGGTGAGGGAGACACTTGCCTGGGGTCTGAAATTTAAAGGGGCACCAAAAAATTCAGTTATCAAATAATATTTCAATGTGCTATTTAAAATAATCAAATTAATATTAAGAAGTCCATGATGGGCCAGACATGGTAGCTCACACTTATAATCCCAGCACTTTGAGAGGTCAAGGTGGGAGGGTTGCTTGAGCACAGGAGTTTGAGACCAGCCTGGGAAACAGCAACAGCAAGATCCTGTCTCTACAAAAAATAATAAAATTAGTTGGGGGTGTGGTGGTGCATGCCTGTAGTCCCAGCCACTTGGGAGGTTGAGGTGGGAGGATGGCTTGAGCCCGGGAGGTTGAGGCTGCAGTGAGCTGTGATGGCACCACTGTGCTCCAGCCTGGGTGACAGAGTGAGAGTGAGACTCTGTCTCAAACAACAACAACAAATCTATGATGAGATGAATAAGACATCACAGTGTTAAACAGACAGGATCTGACCCTGCACCTGTACGACCCTGCCTTACTTGTCTCACCCTGTGTGACCCTGCCTTCCTCATCCCACCCTGTACAACCCCTAGTCATTTCATCCTGTGGCCAAATGGAAAATATTGTCCAGTAAGACAAGGAAGGAAAAAAAGTCTTGGCAACAAAGCTAGGGCCTTGGTTAGGGTAGTGTCATGGGTTGTGGGGACAGGAGCCAGGTTATAGGCAGCAATGTTTCTCAAAGCATAACCCGTGGACCACTGGCACTCGAGCCACACAGAGTACTTGTTAGAAATAAGGGTCCGGGGTTCCACCCTCAATCTACTAAAGCAGAACCTTGGGGGTGCGGGTGGATAGGTAACTGGTAATCTGCATTTTAAACCTCTTTTATGCACAATAATATCTGAGAACAGACTAGGTATGATGGCTCACACCTATAGTCCCAGCACTTTGGGAGGCTGAAGTGGGAAGATCACGAGGCCAGGAGTTTGAGAACAGCTTGGGCAACATAGCAAGACCCCATGTCTACAAAAATTTTAAAAACAGAAAAATTGGCCGGGCGCAGTGGCTCAAGCCTGTAATCCCAGCACTTTGGGAGGCCGAGACGGGCGGATAACGAGGTCAGGAGATCAAGACCATCCTGGCTAACACGGTGAAACCCCATCTCTACTAAAAAAAATACAAAAAAACTAGCCAGGCGAGGTGGCAGGCGTCTGTAGTCCCAGCTACTCGGGAGGCTGAGGCAGGAGAATGGCCTAAACCCGGGAGGCGGAGCTTGCAGTAAGCCGAGATCTGGCCACTGCACTCTAGCCTGGGCGACTCTGTCTCAAAAAAAAAAACAAAAAAAAAAACCAGAAAAATTAGCTGGGTGTGGTGGTGCATGCCTGTAGTCCTAGCTGCTTGGGAGGCTGAGGTGAGAGGATCCTTTGAGTCTCCAGGAATTTGGGGCTGCAGTGAGCTGAGATTGCGCTGCTGTACTCCAGCCTGGGTAACAGAGCAAGACCCTATCTCAAAAAAATAAAAATAAAAATAGGGTAAGAACATTTGGGTAAACCTACAGATGTTTTCCATGGTTATTCCCTTTGCCCTGTGTTATAGGTCTGAGTCTGAAAAATAATTTTATCGCTAACTTAAATGTAAGAAAGAGAGCGGTGTTTACTTACACCTTTAATTCTGCCCAGCTGCAGACGCTGGGTCATTTGTTCCTCTACTCAGCAAACAGGTGCCAGGTGTCGTGCTACATGTTAGAAATATAGGCATAAGTAGAACAGATGCGATGCTTGCCCACAGAGATCTTAAAATCCAGTGGGGGAAAAGAGTGGTATTAAGCAGGTAATAACAATAAAATGTTATGATTATTAAGACAGAGGAAGTCTATGAACATATATAAGAAGGGAACCTAAGCTAGCCTAGGACTCAGAAATGGGCTTCCTGAGAAAGTGATGTTTAAATTGAGACCTGAATAATAGAGCAGGAGTTGGTCAAATAAGGAGGGGGTTTATTTATTTATTTATTTATTATTATTTTTGAGACGGAGTCTTGCTCTGTTGCCCAGGCTGGAGTGCAGTGGTGCGATCTCGGCTCACTGCAAGCTCCACCTACTGGTTTCACGCCATTCTCCTGCCTCAGCCTCCCGAGTAGCTGGGACTACAGGCGCCCGCCACCACACCTGGCTAATTTTTTGTGTTTTTTAGTAGAGACGGGGTTTCACCATGTTAGCCAGGATGGTCTCAATCTCCTGACCTCGTGATCCGCCCACCTCAGCCTCCCAAAGTGCTGGGATTACAGGCATGAGCCACCGCGCCTGGCCTATTTATTTATTTTTATAGAGACGAGGTCTTGCTCTGTTGCCCAGGATGGAGCACAGTGGTGTGATCATAGCTTACTGCAGCTTCAAACTCCAAGGCCCAAGTGATCCTCCCTCCTCAGCCTCCCAAGTAGCTGGGATTATAGGTGTAAGCCACTGTGCATGGGTCAAGGAGGGGGTTTAGAGAAGGTGAGAGGGTTCAGGCAAGGAGAGAAATATACAATAAAAGGGTCTGAGATAAATCCGTAGAGTGCCATGGGCACACAGAGCAGGAATATCCTCAAATCTACCTATAACTTGAAGTATCACCTTGATGGTGACCAGATCTGTCTCTAGCCTTGACCTGCCTCCAGGGATCCTGAGCACAGACATCTCAAACTCAACATGTCCCAAAGCAAGCTTATCTACCCTCAAACTTACTCATCTTCTTATGTTCTCTTCCACATAATGGCACTCTATTCCCCTAGTTTACTAAGCCAGATATGTGACACTCATCTTGTGGCATATGAGTGAAGATGGATGTATGGGTATGGAATAGTTGGATATATAGGTATGGAACTCTGATTCAAGAGAGAAATTTGGGCAGGGATACTTATTTGAAAGCCCTCATACAAGAGTGGTGTTGAATCTTGACAGTGAGCTAGTCCCTCAGGGAGAATCTGAGAGTGAGTACAGAAGAGGGATGACAATGGAATCCCAAGGAACAGCATTTAAGGGGTAGCTGAAGAAGGGCAGGAAATGCATAGAAACCAAGATAATCGGTATCACAGAAACCAGGAGTGTTTTGAGAAGTGGGAAAGGTTGACTGACAAATGCCACTGAGAGGTCACATAAAAGGACTGAGGATGCAGTCCCTGGGTTTTGCAACTGGAAAAACGTGGGTAATCTTAGCAAGACCTGCATCAGTAGAGTGGGAGGCACAGAAGTCAGATGGCAGTGAGTGGAGAAAAGGGAGGAGAGGAAGTGGAGACAGAGAGACTCAACAACCTTTATTTTTGTAATTTTTAAAAAATGTTTTGAGATGGGGTCTGTCTCTGTGGCCCACGCTGGAGTGCAGTGGCGTGATCTTGGCTCACTGCAAACTCCGCCTCCCAGGTTCAAATGATTCTCCTGCCTCAGCCTCCTGGGTAGCTGGGATTACAGGCGTGTGCCACCATGCCCTGCTAAGTTTTGTATTTGTAGTAGAGACAGGGTTTCCCATGTTGGCCACGCTGGTCTCAAACTCCTGACATCAGGTGATCGCCCACCTCCGCCTTGCAAAGTGTTGGGGTTACAGGCGTGAGTCACTGCGCCCAGCCCCTCAGCAATCTTTTCAAGAAGCTTCATTGGGTACGGTGGCTCATGCCTGTACTCCCAGCACTTTGAGGTCAGGAGTTTGAGACCAGCCTGGCAAACATGGTGAAACCCTGTCTCTACTAAAAATACAAAAATTAGCCAGGTGTGGTGGTACATGGCTGTAGTCTCAGCTACTCGGGAGGCTGAGGCAGAAGAATCGCTTGAACCGGGGAGGCAGAGGTTGTGGTGAGCTGAGATTGAGCCATTGCACTCTAGCCTGGGCCACAGAGAGAGACTCTGTTTCAAACAAACAAACAAACAAACAAACAAACAAAAAAAGAAGCTTCACCATGAAGGGCAGAAGTGGAATATAGATTTGAAACAGGGATTCAATTTTACTTTTTAAAGTAGAAGATATTTCAGCATATATAAATGCTAAAAAAATGCTGGTTATGAGGCAAAGGTGAAAGCTATAGGAGAGAAAGAATAAGGAGATAGGAAGGGGTTCAAGTGCAGTACAAATAGAGGATTAGCCCTAGACAGAAGGTATACCTACTGCAACTCTGATGGTAGCAAAAGAGGTTAGGGGTGAGAAAGAAGATACAATCATAGGTTGGGAAGACAGGAAGCTGAGAGAGTTCTTGACTCTAAGGATTTTTTTAATCACCTTTTTTTAACACCAGATGTCCTGTTCTAAAATACTAGAATCAAGAGAAAACTCCTTTGACAATCTCCTCTCCTTTTCATTTTTGAAGGTTGCCTAATTTTTTTTTTTTTTTTTTTTGAGACAGAGTCTCACTCTGTCACCCAGTCTGGAGGGCAGTGGCGTGATCTCAGCTCACTGCGACCTCTGCCTCCCGGGTTCAAGTGATTCTCCTGCCTCAGCCTCTTGAGTAGCTGGGATTACAGGCACCTGCCACCATGCCCAGCTAATTTTTGTATTTTTAGCAGAGACAGGGATTCACCATGTTGGTTAGGCTGGTCTCGAACTCCCGACCTTGTGATCTGCCCACCTCAGTCTCCCAAAGTGCTGGGATTACAGGCTTGAGCCACTGTGCCCGGTGCCTAATTTTTTTTTTTTTTTCTGTTCGGCAAAGGATACGTGATTCTAAGCGAGGTGGTCAAGCGTACCAGGAACAAACTGGCTCCCTGGGAAAACTCCTGCTCCAGTTCAGGGGCAGTCTTGCCTCGGTTGGTTTCAATAAATTTGTCAAGGATGTGACTCCTTGCGACTTTCCCAGCATTGTCCCACTCCTGTAAAAAACTTAAGAGCCTGCTAATTGCTGCCTGTTCCTTTATAGAAGTCATGATCAATCAGTCCTGAAGTTGGCTACAGAGGGAGGGAAAACAGAGAGGTTACCAGAATGTTTAGAATCATGCAACTCCATTATTTTTCTAGCAATCAACTGAAGGCAGGGTGTGGCTCTATCATGCACATGGGTGTAGTTATATGCAAAATATACTCTAGGACTGGTCATCTGCTGCTTGAACAGGGAGGCTCTAGCTGGAGATTCTTAATGCGATTAAGAATATCAATGTGCTAAATGTCTGCTCTTTAAGAACTAAAATTTTAGCTCTTTGGCTTCTCTACTGATGCCAGCAACTAAAAGACCACAGCATCCAGCTGAGATAAAAGTGCTTGCTAAGGCTGGGCGTGGTGATTCATGCCTGTAATTCCAGCACTTTGGAAGGCCCAGGAGGGCGGATCACCTGAGGTCAGGAGTTTGAGATCAGCCTGGCCAACATGGCGAAAGCTCGTCTCTACTAAAAATACAAAAAATTAGCCGGGCGTGGTGGCGGGCACCTGTAATTCCAGCTACTTGGGAGGCTGAAGCAGGCGAAATCTCTTGAACCCGGGGGGCAGGTTGCAGTGAGCCGAGATCGCACCACTGCACTCCAGCCTGGGCGACAGAGTGAGACTGTGTTTAAAAAAACCCAAAAAACAAAAAACAAAACAAAAAACCCCCCAAAAAACAAAATCTGGGCCTCTCTTGTGGCTTACTTCATACAGGGTCAGAGGCTTGAGGTCTTGAGGGACATGGCCTCCCTCTTACGCCAATCACCTAAGTTAAAGTGCTCCTTAACCTTGTACCTCGGGCTTTTACACTAACTCTTAAAAACAACTTAAAAAAAAGTTAGTGGGAAGAAAAAGTTCCCATTCCATAGTTGGATTAATGGGCTGTGGTTTGTAGGAGTCTGTGTCCTTGGGAGAGTGTTTTCAGTGGGGGAGGGAAGGTTTAAGATAACCCCACTTTCCAAAAATAGTTGTGATTGAAAGTGTTATTATCCATAACAAATGTTAGTGCTGATGGGAGAGAGGCATGTGCGATTCTTTTGTCTAACAGACAAGTGAAAGTCATATTTCACATTATCATGGGGTTTTCTGTGATTTACAGAATATTTGTGAAACATTACTTGCAGGGGCCATGATTGATATGGAGAGAACAGCTTGTGTGTAGGAGAGATGTGTATTTCACGAAGACTGTTCAACATGAAATTTACAGTCCCATAAAGTGCTTCTACATCTTCGCCAGAGATCTAGTTAAAAGGACTTTACAGTCTGAAACATCCTAAAATTGATTCTAAATTAACGTTTGCTCACATGTATTTGAGATATTGATGGGGCCCAGCTATCAGAATTTTATTAGGAAGCAATAATCTGAGGCATGCGGAGACAGACATACATACACACCAACCTCTACTGCTCCCCAGAGGACATGGGATGTGTGCTTCCAGAAGGGCGTCCACGCAGCCTCTGGGATGGAGACAACCACGAAATCTAGCTGGACTTAAGAACCAGGTGAATGACTGCAGACCAACCTAAACACAAAAATGAACAAAGCCCCTCATGGGATCATGCATCAATCACCGTGAATGCCATTGCAGTCCTAAGTCTGTGAATAACTTAGGGAGCTCTGGCTGCCTTCAACGGCCAAACTGACACCAAGAAAATGGGGTGAATATCTGTTCTAGACCCCAGGGAGGTGGGGTTGAGACACCACCACTAGCTTTATCAGGCAGGAAAGCATCCTGTGCCCCGACCCTGCCTTAAATGGACCCTTTCTAGTATCAAAATTCAATGTGCTATTAGAGATGCACCCAGCGATTCCAGGACACCAAAGGCAGGGAACTCTAAGCAGGGCACTCCACATTACGGCTCCTCCATGTTTCCTTGGACCTCAGTCTCCCCTATCTTCTTTGAAGACAGGAAAAGAAGTATCAACAAATGGCAGCTTTAAAAGTCACTGTGATGCAGCTGTAAATCTTATGTATGTGCTGAAGGCCCATCATACGGCTCTGTGTAAGGTACCATGGGAGACGCAAAGATGAATATGGCACTGCAGGGCCCTGGAGGAGCTCCTACGCTTGGGGGAGAGTGGAAGAACATGAGATGTGGAGTCAGACTGGGTTCAAGGCTCAGCTCCGCCACTGGCTATTTTGAAAAAATCAAATAGTAATAGCACCTGCCTCACCCTTTGCTGCCCTCCAGTCTCTCCTCACAGAGGCCACTTTAAACTCTTTTGGCTATTTCTTCTGCTGTTTACCCTTGTATTTCCAAATAACGAGCTTATACTACTTGTTATGGGCTGAACTGTGTTTTCCCCAAATTCCTATGTTGAAGTCCTAACCACCAGTACCTCAGGATGTGGTTGTAACTGCAGCTATGGTATTTAAAGACGAAATTAGGCTTAAACTATGTCATTAGGGTGGGCCCTTATCCAATATGACTGGTGTCCTTATAAGCGGTGATTAGGATACAGACACACAGAGAGAAAACCAGGTGAAGACACAGGGAAAAGATGGCCATCTGCAAGCCAAGGAAAGAGGCCTAGTTATCTAGTCTATAACACTTTGTTATGGCAGCTCTAGCAAACTAATACACTGCTATCATTCGATGTATCAACCTTAGGTAATATTTATGTATTTATCGTTCTGGCAGTTGAGGAATTAGGTCTTCATTTTTTTTTTTCTGAGATGGGATCTCACTATGTTGCCCGGCCTGGAGTGCGATGGCTATTCACAGGTATGATCATAGCATACTGCATGCAGCCTCAAACTTCTGGCCTCAAGCAGTCCTCCTGCCTCAGCCTCCTGAGTAGCTGGGGCTACAGGTGCATGCCACCTTGCCCAGCAGAGGAATCAGTTTGATTAGCTCCACTCTAACTCCCATTTTTTCTCTTTCTATCCTCTAACATAATTTGCCATACTTTACAGTTAAATCAATAGTGTTTACATTATTATTATTACTATTTTATGAGATGCAGTCTCACTCTGTCACCTAGGCTGGAGTGCAGTGGCATGATCTCGGCTCACTGCAGGCTCTGCCTCCCAGGTTCCTGCGATGCTCCTGCCTCAGACTCCTGAGTAGCTGGGATTACAGGCATGTGTCACTACGCCTGGCTAATTTTTGTATTTTTAGTGGAGATGGGATTTTGCTGTGCTGGCCAGGCTGGTCTCAAAATCCTGAGCTCAAGTGATCTGCCTGCCTCGGTCTCCCAAAGTGCTGGGATTACAGGTGTGAGCTGCTGCGCCCGGCATATTAACATGATTGATCAAGTAAATAAACTCTTCACTCAAGTAGCAAACTACTATTACATTTTTTTCTTACAGTTTGGTTTTATCTGGAGTTAATAATTGTCATTTTGTTTTTTCTATTGTTTGGTTTGAAGTACCAAGGGCTATTTTCTTCCAAATGTTCCAAATATGTAGTGATTATTCTTCCAAATGTTCAATTCGTAACTGATTAATTCTATCTTTTCCTGGAAACCTCTGTCCCACAGATCTCTTTCTACTATAGTTTAGACTGGTTGCTCACTAAGGCTGGTATGTAAATGTCGGGATTTCCTTTTGCCGAGTTTTTCGATGGATGCCCATTTCCTGGCTCTCACATCTTCTTCCTTCTTTGTGTACTCCCTTGTTTTGTCCTGGAAGGTCTAAAAATATCGTTTTTGACCACATGTTGGATTGGCTGGGTATATAACTCCGTATTAGAAATAAGCTATCTGGTCTGGGTGCGGTGGCTCACGCCTGTAATCCCAGCACTTTGGGAGGCTAAGGCGGGCAGATCATAAGGTCAAGAGATTGAGACCATCCTGGCCAACATGGTGAAACCCCATCTCTACTAAAAATACAAAAATTAGCCAGGCGTGGTGTCACGCAACTGTAGTCCCAGCTACTTGGGAGGCTGAGGCAGGAGAATCCCTTGAACCCGGGAAGTGGAAGTTGCAGTGAGCCAGATTGTGCCACTGCACTCTCTGGCACTCTAGCCTGGTGACAGAGTGAGACTCTGTCTCAAAAAAAAAAAAAAGAAAAAAGAAAAGAAAAGCTATCTAGCCAGATGTGGTGGCTCATGTCTATAATTCCAGTATGTTGGGAGGCTGAGGCAGGAGGATCACTTGAGCCCAGGAGTTTGCGACCAGCCTGGGCAACACAGTGAGACCTCCATCCCTCCACCCCCAAATTAGCCTGGTACAATGGCACACACTTGTACTTTCAGCTACTTGGGAGGCTAAGGTGGCTGAGGTGGGAGGATCGAATGAGACCAGGATGTTGGGGCTATAGTGATCTGTGATCCCACCACTGCACCCCAGCCTGGGCAACAGAGCAAGACTGTGTCTCAAAATAAATACATAAATAAATAAATAAAAGCCTCCCTCAGGTTCACCCTCCGCAGTTGCTGTTGCTGATGAGAAATGTGAAGTCATTCTGATTCCTGTGCCTTTGTCTATTTTTTTTCACTCCTGATGATTTTGAAATCTTTCTGAAGTTGTATGATGATATGCTTTGGTGAAGGTCTTTTTTCATTTACTATAGTAAGCCCTTGGTGGGCTCTTTAAATCACTGTATCCTTCAGTGTTTAGATATTTATTAGGCAACTAGTCTTCTCACTGGGGAATTCATAAACATCAGCCAGTGGAGGGTTTTTTTTTAACCCCCTCATAGAGATATCAGGGTCTCTGGAGAAGACCTTCCTACTTTCCCAGGGAGGGTGAGAGAGTAGGGGTGCTATGACAGACACCTTGCCATGGCATGTTGGGAGTCAGGTGGGGGAAGGGCTCACGCAATGCTGTGTGCAGACCTTCCCTCTGCTGATCAGTTTTCCACTCGATGTCTCATTCCTGCCCTTCAAACTCTGCCTGAGGTCCCTGTGCAAGGAGGCCTACAGAGCCCAACTTCCTTCCTCTTCATGCAGCAAGAGAGTTGAGAGTCATTTCTTTCTTGGCGGTTGAGGCTCTGGAGTGCGGGCGAAGTGCTCTGCACACAGAGGTCAGTGAATTCCCCTAGGTTGGGCTCCATACCTCATTTCTGACCTTCGGTGGTAATTTGTGCTTTCAATCATTAAGCCTCTTAGAGCTCAAACTGGCTGAATTGGCTGGTTTCTTGTTGGTAAGCTCCTCTTTTTGGCACTTGCTTGCAATTTCCTCTGCTTCAAGTTGGTTAACCTCCCTGCGCCTGCCTTCTACCTTCCAAATATTTGTTGAATTCTTTCATCTCCTGTTGCCTCCTTCTGTGAACTTTTGTGACTGAATGCCTTTTTATATTTCTTCAGCGGGGTTATGTCACTGAGGTTTTTGAGAAGTAGGGGGAGATAAAAGACATTAAGTATATTTAGTTAAGAGCCTCCAGCCATGTATTATTTTTCTCAACTTTTCTTTAATAGTAAGCTTGATGAGGGTAAAAAAAAAAAAGACCCATTAACTACCATTTTAAAAAATAATTAATAAGATGAAAACAATGGAAAAAAGAGCAAAATGTGTCAATTTCAAGAGTCAGTTGCTGGGATAAATTTTGTATGTAAGCTTGTTGACTGCTAAGGAAAAAGGGATGTTAGCTGTTTTTCCTGGTGAAGGGAGAAGGAATGAAGGCAGGGAGAAGAAACTGACATTTTTTGAGTATTGATTAAGAGCTATCCATACACCATACTCTCTCTCTCTCTCTCTGTGGTTGTTTTTGTTTATAGAGATAGGGTCTCTCTGTGTTGCCTAGGCTGATCTCAAACTCCTGGCCTCAAGCTATCTTCCCACCTTGGCCTCCCAAACTGCTGGAATTACAGGTGTGAGTCACCACACCTGACCTATATTCTTTGTTTTAATCCTCTTAAGATCCTCATGAGGTCATCATTATCCACAATTTTCAGATGAAGAAACTAAGGTTTAGAAGGGTTTGCTCATTTTTTTTTTTTTTTTTTGAGACGGAGTCTCGCTATGTCGCCCAGGGTGGAGTGCAGTGGCCGGATCTCAGCTCACTGCAAGCTCCGCCTCCCGGGTTTTTACGCCATTCTCCTGCCTCAGCCTCCCGAGTAGCCGGGACTACAGGCGCCCACCACCTCGCCCGGCTAGTTTTTTGTATTTTTTAGTGGAGACGGGGTTTCACCGTGTTAGCCAGGATGGTCTCGAACTCCTGACATCGTGATCCGCCCGTCTCGGCCTCCCAAAGTGCTGGGATTACAGGCTTGAGCCACCGCGCCCGGCCTCATTTATTGAAGGCCTCAAAGCTAAATAGGGATAGGAATGGGATCTGTATATAACTCCAAAGTCCAGGGTTTCCGCCACTAAGCCAAGGGCATGGATCCTGTTCTCCTCTGTGCTCCAAGGTGTCACCAATAATCTCTTGTTGTCAAATTTAGTGGTTAGCTCACAGTCCCACCGTGCTCGGTCTCTGATGGATTGTGAATGACTCTGACTCTTCTCAGAACTCTTTCCCTAACCCCAGTCTCCCCTGGTTCTACTCCACACTCTCTGAATCCTCAGTTGCCTTTGCAGGATACTGCCTTTGCAGGTCGTTTTCCCATTCTCAGTTCTCTTCTCATGCTTTGTAATCCCTGGATGACCTCATTCACCCCATCACTTCAAATTACATCTATAGGCACACGACTCTCAAATTCGTCTCCTCAGTCTGGGCCTCCCAACTGAGTTCCAGATCTCTTTATGTACTTAAGTGACTGGCAGACTCTTCACTGGTATGTGTCACAGGCTCCTCAAGTCAATAGGTCCCAAACTGAGCTCATCAACTCACACCTGCCCCTTGCCCTGTGTTGGTCCTATTTCAGTGCTTGGGTCACCACCCTCCTAGCCAGCCAAAAGTTGTCTTTGACTTATTCCTCTCCCTTGCCCTCATCTGAACTGTTGCCAGCTCCTGCCAACTATATGTCCTAAATCTCCCTGAGATCAGTCTATCTATCTTCACCTCCACTGCCACTATTTTAGTTTCACACCGTTGTTCCTCATATGGATTACTGCAACAGCCTCCTACTGGTCTTCAGGCTTGCCCCAGCCTGGAATGCAGGCTGGAATGCAGTGGCATGATCATAACTCACTGCAGCCTCAACCTCCTGGGCTCGAGTGATCCTCCCACCTCAGCCTCCTGAGTAGCTGGGACTATAGGTGCATGCCACCATGCCCACCTAATTTTTATATTTGTTTATTTTTTGTAGTGGTGGGGTCTTGCTTTGTTGCCCAGGCTGGTATCAAACTCCTGGGCTCAAGCAATCCTCCTGCCTCAGCCTCCCAAAGTATTGGGATTACAGGTGTGAGGCACCAGGCCAGGCTTTGATGTGAGATTTTTAAAAGTACAAATCTGACAGATTACCCTGCTTCAGACTCTTCAATGGTTCCTTACTACCTGAGGATACAATTTCAAACATTTCAGGCCAAAGAATTTCCATCTAAATTCGGCCCCAAGTGAAACCTGACACCCCACCCCACCCCTTGCCTCAACCCATGCTGCTGAAGGGGGCTGCCCACTATCCTACACCACAAACACCATTCTCTAAATCCCTACTACCGTTCCTGAACCCTTCCTCCTCCTCTGAGGTCAGGCCGTCTGTCTTTCCCTTTCTACCTTGCCTCAGTGCTGATCAATGACTTCGACACGTAAGCCTTCCTGTTTACTCAAGAGCCACTAGGCAATTTCAACATCAATGTGCTCCATCTTTGTAATTTGGGTGGCTAGCATGGTCTCTGGCAAATCACGGGCACTCAATAAGTGTTATTTAAACTGACATCCAACACACTGTGCTCAGAATGCACACTTTAATTTCCTTAGCTCTGCACATTAATTAATTAAACAGATTCCCAGGTGCCAACTCTGAGCCAAGCACTGGGCTTGGGATTGGCTAATGTGACAAACATAGACCTTGCCCTTGGGTGCTTACAGACTGGCAGGGCAGAGAGACAAGCAAAAAGGTGATTTTAACCAACAGCGGAGAGCGCTTTGATGGGATATATCCCAGGTTCTGTCGGCGAACAGAGGACAGACATGGAATGCAGACTCCAGCGACCTCCAGCTTTCACCTCCAACCAATGCAGCTTTCATACCCAAGACCCACACCCCAAAACTGTGACTGGCTAGCACCATCCCTCCTGTGAAGTCTACAATTCCAAGCTCCTTACCTTCCCACCTCTTCCATCTATTCTCAGACGACCTACTTTTGGGTTTAACAAAGAAAGTTACAGGCCATTAGGTAAGAATGCCGTCATACTCCTCTTCTTTCTTCATCTCTATTCACACCCATCCTTCTCCTCTCCTCTAGCCGTCTACCAGAGCTCTGCATCCATCCACCCTGCCTCCTCAGGGCCCTCATTCTACTCATTACTCCTACCTCCCTTGGATCCTCAACCCCTCTATTTAGGCATTTTTCTTGTTAGCCTTGATTTTTACCTATCTTTATTATTATTTATCAATGTATTTATTCGAGATAGGGGCTCACTCTGTCACCCAGGCTGGAGTGCACAGCACCATCATAGCTCAGTGCAGTCTTGAACTACTGGGCTCAAGCGATCCTCCTGCCTCAGCCTCCTGAGTAGCTAGGACTAAGGGTGTACACCACCACGCCTGGCTAACTTAAAAAATTTTTTAGAAACGGAGCCTCACGGCCAGGAACAGTGGCTCACGCCTGTAATTCCAGCACTTTGGGAGGCCGAGGCGGTTGGATCACGAGGTTAGGAGATTGAGACCATCTTGGCTAACATGGTGAAACCCCATCTCTAAAAAATACAAAATTAGCCGGGCGTGGTGGCAGACGCCTGTAGTCTCAGCTACTCAGGAGGCTGAGGCGGGAGAATGGCGTGAACCCAAGAGGTGGAGCTTGCAGTGAGCCAAGATTACGCCACTGCACTCCAGCCTGGGCAATAGAGCGAGACTCTGTCTCAAAAAAAAAAAAAAAAAAGAAAAAAGAAACGGAGCCTCACTATGTTGCCCAGGCTGGTTTGGAACCTCTAGCCTCAAGCAATCCTCCCACCCTGGCCTCCCAAAGTGCTGGGATTCTGGGATTATAGGCGTGAACCACCCACTGTGCCTGGCCTAAGTTTTGCCTATCTTTAAACAAAAATAAGCAAAAACGAAGACAAAAACCTCAACCTCACATTCTCTTCATCATCTCTCTGGTTTTCTGACTTCACAGCAAAGCTTCTGAAAAACAGTGTTCATACTCTTTTCTGTTTCCCCACTGACCATTCTCTCCTCAACCCATCACAGCTGGGCTTCTACCCCGCCACCTCCCTTCCATCACGTTAGCCAACGTCTCCGGTAACCTCTGAATTGCCCAGTTCAGTGAGGATGTCTTAGTACTTTGCTCATTTGTCCCTCTTACTGCAACAACTAATATCATTGACCATTCCTCTTACTCAAAATGCTTTCTTGCTTGACACCTCTGTATCATGGCATCTTCTTTTGGTTTGCCTAAGTCTCTGGCTGCTACCTCCCTGCATTATTTGAGTCTCCGGTGTCACATTATATTGTCACATTATATTGAAAGTCCTCAGTAAGTTGCCTCATTAAGACATTCAGACATGACTAGGAATCCCTCTGCCCCACCTCCAACCTCACTAACTTCAACAAATAGTGACAAGTATGTCCCACGCCTTATCCTAGGCCTTTGGGGATAAATGTAAAAAAGACACAGTCCCTGCCCGCAAGTACAGTTTGAGGGTGGCATAGAGCCTTGTAAAGAGGTGATTTCAATTCCAATAGCGTGGCAAGTGCTGTGATGGAGTAGGTACAAGACACGCTAGAATGAGAGAGGGGGACACCTAACCTGGCTTTGGTTTGGGTGCTGGCTGCAGTGAAGGGCTTTCCAGAGGAGATGTCATCCAGGCTGAAAAGCAATCTGCAGCTATGGAAGAGGTGAGGAAAGTGTCTTTTAGGTAGAGGGAATCAAATCTGCAATGGCTCAGAGGTGGGAGTGTAGGACATAAAGAATTGCAAGTGGGAGGCAGTAGAGACAGTGGTTAGGAACACAGACTGTGGTTTTGGATGATCTTCCACTTCCTGGCTATGTGACCTTAGGCAAATTACTTAACCTCTTTAGGTTTCGGTTTCCTTAATTGTGAAGAGGTAGAAATGTTTCATAAGGGTCAATAAACTATCTAACGTGTCGAAAACCCTCAGTAAAACGTAGCTCTTATTTTTATTATTGAGATTGCTCAGAATAGCTGGAGCACAGTGTGAAGATGGAAGCAGCAGGAGGTGAGGCTGGAAAATCAGGCAGAGGCCAGAGAACGAAGGGCCTCATATGCTGGCTGCAAGGTTCACACTCCACCCTGAGGGCAATGAACAGGTCCTGAAGGGTTAAAGCGAGAGGGACAAAAAAAGACTTTGTTTTACAAATATCTTGACTGTAGTGTAGAAAGGGGATCGGAAGGGGGCAAGCTGGAGGGGGGCACCAGTTAGGAAGTCATTCCTACGGCCTTGCCAAAGATGCTGATGATATTAGGGTTGGAGAGAAGTAGAAACATCACACAGTTTGAACAAACAGGACCTGTTGACTGACTGGCTGTGGCAGATGAAAGACGGGAGGAATCAAGGAGGATGCCTGGATAACTTTGCTTCCAACTTCACAGAGAATATAGGGGCCAACAAGCACAACCCTCTCCTCTTAACATCATCATATCAGCACCCACCCTCTCCGTGCGTGCTAGATTCTGCCCCATCTTCAATCTTCCCATCTTCCCTGATTGCTCTTAAACACTTGCTCAATTCCCACCAACCCAAATAAATATACAAACAAAGCCATCCCCTAACTACTTTTTCCTTAAGCTTCTACCCTTCCTACTTGCTTCACTCCCAAATTTCTCCATTAGCTCACTGTGGCCTACTAGATAAAGTCTAAACTCAATATGACACTCAGGGCCATTCAAAACTTGGCCCCAGCTGGGTGCTGTGGCTCACGCCGATAATCCCAGCACTTTAGGAGGCTGAAGTGGGTGGATCATGAGGTCAGGAGTTCAAGACCAGCCTGGCCAACATAGTGAAACCCCATCTCTACTAGAAATACGAAAATGAGCCAGGTGTGGTGGCATGCACCTGTGGTCCCAGCTACTCGGGAGGCTGAGGCGCGACAATCACTTGAACCTGGGAGGCTAAGGTTGCAGTGAGCCGAGACGGTGCCATTGACCTCCAGCCTGGGTGACAGAGTGAGACTCTGTCTCAAAACAACAAACAAACAAACAAACTTGGGCCCAGTCTAACTTCATCTCTAGTCACTTCCACATTACAACAACCTTGCACTCTCAACTCCCCAGGCCCTTCCAGGGCCCTCTGCATCTCAGTGTTGCTCTGCCATCAGGAATGGCCAGGTTCCTTTGGGGTTTGCAGTTCTGGTCCCATCCATGCCACCTCTTCCTCTACTATGCTGTAAAACTTACCCATCCTTCCCACTAGAGTGTGAGTTCCTCAAGGGCAGGAGTTGGTCTTCCCTGTCTCTGTGTCCTTAGGGCCTGGCATAATGCTTGGCACAAAACAGATGTTGAATAAAGGCTCACTGAGTGAATGTGTGAAGAAATCAGCCAGCTCCTGTTGAGATGGTTAGATCTGAATGTCCATGATATGCAGGTCCATAAAACTACCAACTTCCCAAAGCTGCCATGTGCGGAGTGGCAGAATCTCCATCCAAGAAGGCCAGTGCAAAGTCTATGAGGTGTTTTACAGCTATGACAGGAAATAGCAGTGTCAGCAGCGGTGTCATCTTTGGACACTACGGACAGGGATTCAGTGCCATGAGCGGTCAGTTAAATTGTAATTGGAGTGAACTGTTCTTCTGCAAACCATAATGTTATTTAGCTGCAGCCAAATGGCATTCAAGGAGGGGAGAAATTTTTTTGAAATGTCAAAGAAATTATTTCCAATTTGGTGCTCACAACCAGAGACTCTAATGATCAGTGGAAATGAGAAGCAAACAAATTAGCACTAATGGAAAATGGCTTTTGGAAAAGAGGATTTAATTTAGAGTCAACTGATCATGGCACGCAGCATGCAGTAAGAGTCAGCTTCACCAGCCTGGTCATAAGAACTGGAGCACGCATGGAATGCCAGAGAAAAATATATGTATGCCATCATGCTTATTGGGATCTCTCTGTAAGTGGCAGCCAATTAAAATAGTCATTATTTTACCTCGGAGAGAAAATGGTGCGAAAAATCAAGCACGCAAAATTAAAAATCCAGATTAGGAACCTCGGTCCAAATTGGTTTGTTCGTGGCCTTCTAACCTTGGCAACGTCTTCTGCAAGGATGACAGACCTACTTTGTCTTCAGCCCAGACTGGACTCTTTGTTTTTAATTTCCTCTCCACCTTCAGAGGTGATTAATAAATCTGGACTCATCCATAAATCATTTCTATAGTGGCCAAATGGTTCTTCTTCATGCAAGGAAACTAAAATCACACAATCTCAAAAGCCCCAGCTCTCACGCTAAGCCAAAGGTCCTTAGCAACAAGCGAAGGGGAGGTATTAAAAATCAAGAGGTCAATAGGTCTTGTTTCTAAATAAAATTTCCCAGAGGGCTTCCCCAACCCCCTGAAATCAAAAGACACCTTCTGAACGCGAGAGGCCTCCAAGGCATGGGCTGCCAGCCTGGCTCACTGTCCCCAAATGGCCTTGGAGACAACAAGCGAGTCACTGTCTCCTATTCCTGTAGGTTTCACATGCAGAATGAGACAGGCCTTCTCCTTGGGCTCCCATCCCTGACTCCTCACTCTTAGTTCTCCATTCAGAGACAGGGAGAGAGAAACATTATCTCCTCAAACTTCCAAACAAGGTGTCCTTACTTCTCTCCCAGGGGCATATGCACTTCAATTTGTCACTTCCTTCTCGCGGACCCTCTTCTGCTCCCCACTCATACCCTGACAGACACCCCTACCCCTGCTACCCATCACTTCCTGGTAGACTCCAATCTGCCCCCATATTTTCCCCACATCTGTCCATTTTCTCCATCCTCTCCCCACAGGAACTCCTTTCCCTCATCTCCTTCCTATGAAATCCTCTGCCTTCATCTTCTCCCTACTTGCTTCATCCCTATCCACAGCCCCCACTCTTCTTCTCCCCAGACTCACTTCTGCCTCCAACCCCGCTCCAAGGACCTTCATCATCTCTCATCCTCTCTCCACAACATGTAACTGGCGAGGTGAACCACACTCTCCTCGCCCCTTCACTGCTCTATGCTTCATCTTCCTTGACCCATTTCCCAGCCTTCCTTCCCTTCCCAACCTTTTTACTCTGCTCTTGAAAACCCTTCTTCCCAATCAGCTAAGTCTCCTCCATTCTCAGCCTCTCCCGTCACCCGCCCACCTCCAGCCTGCATCCAAAGCTGGCTCTACGCCAGGGCTCCCCTTCTGCAAGGCCCTCCTGGTAGAAGCTGTTTAGACTCTTACACCCCCAGGATTTCACGGTTAGGAGGGGGCCTCATGTCTCCTTGCCAAAGCCCAACTCAGTTCCTTATTCCACCTCCTTCTTGTAAAAGCCCTTACTACTTCAAGGGTCATACCATTTAGCTGTCTCAGCCTTTGCCCCTCCTCATGCTGTCACCTAGAGACTCCAGAAAAACTCGCTCTACCCATCAAAGACTGGTACCTAGCTCACAGGCATCCTCTTCCCTTCCCTCCCCTCAAGTCTTCCTATCATCCAGGGGGAGTTCAGTGGCCACGTCAGCATCCTGAGTGTCTCCTGTACTCCACTTTGGCCCCTGACTCCCACGGCCACACCCTGGACCTTGTCATCACCGGAAACTACTCAAACTTCATTCTTCCACTTTCTGTTCACAACTTTCTCATTCAATGATCTCAGATACGGATTCTCTGACTTCACTGGGACCTCTAGTCCATACATTCTTTTTCACTCTCCTATCCAGTTTAGATACTAAAGTCCTTCTTTCAATCACTGTTTTGCCACAATCTTCAACTTCCTGGTCCTTTGTCCTTCCATCTATCCGCCCGGTAAAACTCAAACCTAGATCAATTAAACTAATCTCTCTGTACCCACCACTAGGTGGCTGAATGTTGTTGAGGGAAAAATGCATATTACATAACCTTGCAGACCGCTGCTCTTGAAAATTGACAGTCACTAACCTCAACAGGGCCATCATAACTGCCCAGAAATCTGTTTGCTACCTTAGTCATCTCACTGCCACTCTCCACTGCTGATATTTCAATCTTTCTCTGCTCTTTTCAATCTCGCACACTATCTCCAATCCCACTCTCACTGGCTGATATCATGTTCTTATATGACAGAGAAAATGGAAACCATCAAAGAAGAATTACCTCAACTTCCTGTCACGAAAACTACCAATTAACCCTCAACATAATGCTTCCCTTCTGCCACAAAACAAATATTCCTCCACCCTTCTAAGTGAATTTCTTCACCAACACTTTGGTGAAGCCTTTTTTTCAGGGGCACCATTCTCAGTTATCTTCTTTCCCTTATAATTTTTTTTACCTTTTCCCCTCTTGCTGGATCTACACCAACGTTTCTCCCATCCAAATAAAAACCTGCGTTTCCTTCTGGCTATTGCCTTATTTTTCTTCTAAATAGCCAAGCTTTCTGAAAATGTATCTTACATGAATCTTCACTTCCTCAATCCCATCTGCGTCTCAAACCGCTGTAATTTGACCTCTGCTCCCATCACTCCACTGAAACTGTACTTGCAAAGGTCACCAACAACTTCCTTGTTTCTACATCCAGTGGATTCTTTCAGGCTTCATTTTACTTGATTAGTCATAAGCCTTCAACATTTTCCTTCCTTGGCTTCTGAAACACCACATTCTACTACTGATCTTCTTACCATTTTGGACACTTCATCTTGATTACCTTTGCAGGTTCCTCTTCCTTTGCCAGACCCTCAAAACTTGGGTGTTTCTCAGGGTTCTGTCCTAGGTCTCTTCCGACTCTACACTTACTCCCTGGGCAAGCTCAACAAATCTATTGGTGTGGCTGGCATCTATAAGGCCCCAAAGACTCCCACATTGCAACTTCGAGTTAGACTTATCTGGCGAACTCCAGTTAGGCATATCCAATGGCCTTCTGGATACCTCCACTTGGATGTTCCATTGGCACCTCAAGCTCACCATGCCCAGAGCTGACCCTCTCCTAAAAACCCTGCTTCCTCTCCTTCCTGTTTGCCCAAACCAGGAATCTAGAAGTCATCCTTCATTTCCCTTACTTCCCCATACCCAATCAGTAACCAAGTCCAGTTTTTTCTTGCTGTAGGTGTCTAAGGAATTCATTCTGCCCTTTCCATTTCAGCTGCCACTCCATGCTTTATGCTACCATAATCCTTCCCCACTACTGAAACAACCTCCTAACTGGTCTCCCTCCTTCTCCCAATCCCCAATCCAGTTCTTGCACTAATCTTTCTTTTTTTTGAGAGGGAGTCTCGGTCTGTTGCGCAGGCTGGAGCGCAGTGGTGCGATTTTGGCTCACTGCAACCACTGCCTCCCGGATTCAAGCGATTCTCCTGCTTCAGCCTCCCGAGTAGCTGGGATTACAGGCACCCGCCACCATGTCCAGGTAATTTTTGTATTTTCAGTAGAGACGAGGGTTTGCCATGTTGGCCAGGCTGGTCTCAAACTCCTGACCTCAGGTGATCTGCCTGCCTTGGCCTCCCAAAGTGGTGGGATTGCAGGCATGAGTCACCTTGCCTGGCCCCCTGCACTAATCTTTCTAGACACAAATCTGATTGTTACTCCCCTGCTTAAAGCCCTGCAATGACTCCCTGCTGTCTTAATGATAAAGTCTAAGCCCTTGTGCTCATGGGTGTAAAATGCATTGGAAAATTTTTACCATCAGCAAGATCTACCTGTAAGCACAAAGCTGAGCTTGGCATCAAAGACTCTCCAGGATCTGGGTCTAATTTTCCAAGGTTCCCCTCACATGAGTCTCTAGCCTGGCTAGGGTATGCTTCATGTAATTTCTGGCACATTCACCTCTTTGAGCTCCTGAAGGGAGTCTTTTTTTGTTTTTGAGATGGAGTCTCACTCCGTCACCCAGGCTGGAGTGCAGTGGCACAATCTCGGCTCACTGCCACCTCTATCTCCCGGGTTCAAGCCATTCTCCTGCCTCAGCCTCCCAAGTAGCTGGGATTACAGGTGCCCACCACCATGCCTGGCTAATTTTTGTATTTTTAGTAGAGATGGGGTTTTGCCATGTTGGCCAGGCTGGTCTTGAACTCCTGACCTGAAGTGATCTGCCCACCTCAGCCTCCCAAAGCGCTGGGATTACAGGCGTGAGCCACCACACCGGACTCTTTGTTTTGTTTTTTGAGACAGGGTCTCACTCTGTCACCCAAGCAGGAGTGCAGTGGCACAATCATGGCTCACTGCAGCTTTGACCTCCCCGACTCAAGTGATCCTCCCACCTCAGCTTTCCAAGTAGCTGGGACTTCAGGCATGAGCTACCATGCCTCGCTAATTTAAAAAATTTTTATTTTGTAGAGATGAAGGTCTCACTATGTTGCCCAGGCTGGTCTTGAACTCCTTCAAACCATTCTCCCGTCTTGGGCTTCCAAAGTGCTGGGATTACGAGTTTGAGCCACCGCGCCTGGCATACAGAGTCTTTTCCCCTCCCTCTCTCTAAAAGTCTTTCAAGACCCAGCTCAAGAGCCAATCACACTGCCAGAAATGCCCCTTCTCTGATTATGAGCTCCTCAAATCCTTACTCTTCTGTAGTATTTATCTCACATGCAGAATCAGAGTTGCTTCGTGCGTGGTTTCTCTCCCTCTCCCGTTAAGACATGGGAGAGAGAGGGCCAAAGCCTGATCCTCACTAGGGCCTAAGGAACCTTATTTAGCCCACCCAGTCTCTGGCACATAGTATGTAAATATACTGGCACACAGTATGTAAATATAGATAAATGCAAGAAAGTTGCACTCCCAGCTCCTCGGTGGATCCTATCAACAGGGCATTCTCTGAAGTCATCAACTGAAGACTGCCTCCCACCCATCCATCCATCCATCCATCCATCCATCCATCCATCCATCCAGAATATGCCTCGACCCCACTGGGTGGAGGTTGGGTCGGCACGCGCCCCCTAGGCCGTTTTGTACGTTTTTCTACCTCCAGCCCTCGGAGCTGCGGCTGGTAGAGGATGGCAGAGGTAGCTAGACGATGCAAGTCAAAGGGCACACGCTTCCGCCGCGTAGGATAGGACTCTGTTCGGACGAGCGACCCTGCCCATTCCCAGAATACAGCAAGTCTCCAGCCTCCTCTCACCTACATAAGAGGGTGCGGACTTTTCCTGACCGGCGCCCCGGCTGACCAATACCTGATCCAGATCAAGCGAGTTAGCCAATGGCTGCGGGCCAGTAACAGGGGCGGGGCACGGTTGCTAGGGCCGAGCTAGTGGGGTGAGGCGAGAGGCTCTGGAAGAGACTTGGTGGTTGCTAAGGCGGGAGGTCACAGAGCGCGGCGCAGGGATTGGGCCGTGTCGGGGGAGGTGTGTGGTGATTGGGCGGCGCCCAGGAGGCGCCCGGGTGAGGCAAGGGTGCGCAAGCTAGAGTTCCGGCTGGAGGCCCGTGCTCGGGGCCGGCGCCTTCACCATGGCCTCGGCAGAGCTGGACTACACCATCGAGATCCCAGATCAACCCTGCTGGAGCCAGAGTATGGAATGAGGGTTGGGTCCGGGCGCGGGGAGGTGACCTCACGAATCCGTGGGTTGCGAGCGCAGCTGTAGCCCCGCCCCTCATGCGGCCCCGCCCTCCCGCGGGCCGCCCCCTCATAGGGTCCGGCAGGTCCTAGACTTAGAGAGGCTCAGAGAGCCCCGCCCCTCGTAAGCCCCGCCCCAGAGTGTTCCTCCCTGGCGAGCCCCGCCTCTGCCCCGAGTCAGCTGCTAGCTTGGGACCCCTTTTTTTTGTCTTTCCTGTCCGGGGTGCTCAGGTCCATACCCTTTAATCACTTATCATAGCTGAAGGCTGCCGAAAGCTGGATCCCTCCTGATTCCTTTGTTTGGGATTGGGCTTCTCACATCTAGCCTTTCTTCGGCGGTTGTGGCTGGGGGTATCACTTATTATTTTCCCGAAGGCGTGGAAGGGGAGCCTCGCGGGGTCACCGGTCCTCGCAGAAGCCCGGGACTCAGAACCCTTAGCCGTCCCTCTCCACTCTTCTTGGCAGTGGTTAACAGTGCAGTCTCTGCCGTCAGGTAGAACTCGATAGAAATCCTGACTCCTTTCTTTAGGAGCTGGATGACCTTTGGTAAGCTACCTTCTCTAAACTTCAGTTTCCTCCTCTGCAAAACAGGGATAGGGATAGTAACCTTCCTCACAGGGCTGTTGGGGCCATCTGGAGATTGTGTAAAGGGCCTGGCATGGAGCGAGTTCAGTAATTGGCATTTACCATCAGCATTGTTTCTCTCCTTACGTTAAAGAAAGACATGTAGGAGGCTCCACAAAATTAGTAGGCTTGACAGCAGGCCCGCGTCCATGACAGTGTGAGTAGATAGGGGCCCAGAGAGTGGAAAGTTTGGTCTCTCTGGGAATTCTGGCAGAAGGGCCTTAAAGTATGATCAGCCTGAGGCCAGAGTATCTCTCACTTGCATTAGTCCAGCATCGCCTTCACGCCTCCTGTCTGACTGCCTGCAGCCCAGCCTCTTAAATTGCTACCACAGTGATCTTCCTAATGCAAAGGTTTGATCTTATGCTCTGCTCTCCATAAAATTTAACTCCTTCAGACCTTCCCAGACCCCTCCTGTAGCATCTCATGTTCTTTGGTTAGAGTCTAGGAGAGGGCAGCCCTTAGGCTCCCACAGAACAGATGGCCCCAGACCAGCTGTTTTCCCCTAGAGCTGGAGCTGTTGGCTTAGCACTTTTGGGTTTATAGATGTAAAAATACTTCGGACATGTTTTGGCGTCAACAAGCCATGAAGTCAGTTAATATTATTTCCTTTGGAGCGCTTTCGGCAGCGACGGGCTGGAGCTGCCTTCTGCACAGCCAGGAGGGCAGCCTGGTGGTCCTGGTTCGCATTTCAGCTCCACGTCCTACTAGTTATGTGTCTTTGGCAAGTTACTGAACCTCCTCGAGCCTCAGATTCCTCCACCGTGAAATGGGAACAGCACTAGTGCCTGCCTCCTCGTGGGATTGCAAGGGTTACGAGGTAGCGTTTGGATGTGTGTCCCTGGTACAGTGCGGATGCTGCCATTGCATTGCTTCCCCTATGGTTCCCCCTCCGTCCCCCTTTCTTTTTTTTTTTAAGAGATGGAGTCTGCCCTGTCACCCAGGTCGGAGTGCAGTGGCGCGATCCTATGTCTCCCTTTGCTGTTCCAGGAGGCTGGGTCTTAGAACTGGAAGAAATCTCAGGGACTGTTTTGTCCTGCATCCCTCCGTTGGCATGAGTGCATTCCACTGCTAGCCGATCGTTCCCTGAGGGGATGCTTCTGCCCAAACATCCTAGCCTGTTGGAGGCAGCTGGGATTGTTAGAAAGCACTTCCCTTTCTTGAGCCACAGTAGGCCTTCCTGTCATTTCCGCTCTCAGTTCAGCATTTGCTGTGTCCTGGCCGTGGGATTGTTGTTGGCGCCTCAGAAGTGGCTCACACGCCCAAGGAGCTGAGGTTTTGGGGAGTGGAGTGAATTTATAAGCAGGTGGTTTCAAAATGATGTGCTGACTGCAGGGCTAGAGCATTGTGGTGGGAACGATACAGAGCAAGGAATCTCGCTTCCTCTCTTCAAGAGGATGGCTTTGTGCCTTCACATTTCCTCCAAGAGAAACACTTCCAAGGCCTTCAGTTGTTTCTTCTCCATATTGCTCCTCCTGACTGGCTTTAATTCATCGTCCTTGCCTCTCACAGTGCATGCTCCAGAGGTGAGCTAGAGGTTGTCAAACCCCTCAGAAGGAGATCACGACACTGTGGTCCCCTGAATCCGTTTGCTTCCTATCTGTAGAGCTTCCCTCCAGGCCAACATGGCCTCATAGAGTGACAGTCTTTTGGAGCCCAGAGATCGTCTGTCTTTTGCAATTACTGTTTAATGGTGGAGAAGTGTGTAGGACAGTCATATTTCATTTCTGAAATTACTTTTTAAAAACTTTTTTTGTTTTTGAGATGAGTCTTCCTCTGTCACCCAGGCTGGAGTGCAGTGGCGCAATCTCAGCTCACTGCAACCTCTGCCTCCCAGGTTCAAGCAATTCTGCCTCCCAGGTTCAAGCAATTCTCCTGTCTCAGCCTCCCAAGTAGCTAGGACTACAGGCACACACCACCCCGCCTGGCTACTTTTTGTAGTTTTAGTAGAGACAGGGGTTTCACCATATTGGTTAGGCTGGTCTTGAACTCCTGACCTCAGGTGATCCACCCGCCTCAGCCTCCCAAAGTGCTGGGATTACAGGCGTGAGCCACTGTGCCCAGCCTTTAAAAACTTTTTTTTTTTTCAGTTTAAAAAAATTTTTCATTTTCATATATGGAGACAGAGTCTTACTAGGTTGCCCAGACCGGTTTGAAACTCCTGGGCTCAAGCAGTCCTCCTATCGCAGCCTCCCAAAGTGCTACGATTACAGGTATGAGCCACTGCACCTGGCCTGAAATTACTTTTCCCCTGTATTTGAAAATCAAAACCACAGAGCCCATCACTGCTGTGAGCTGACAGAGAAGCTGATGCTGGCACATTAGCTAGCTGGAAGGCAGCTGCAGATTTGGGGTCATTCAGAGCCCTGGGTCTTGTAGGTCAGGCTTGGCAGCCCAAAATCCTCCTGCTGGGAATCCTACCAGCCAGTACCTATGGCTGCCCATGCTGATGGTCGTCTGCCCAGGCCTTTGCTAAAGCTGGTGCTTTGACCCAGAATCTGCCTTCCCTCTCTTTTTCCCAGGCCAGTGATCCCCTCACTCTCTCAATACCCTCTCTTACTTCATTTCATTTGGAAAGGGTCTCTCCTGGGGCTCCCATAAGCACTATATTTTCCTGTTGTTGTGTTTTTGATGGCTTCACTCACTGTCACCGGGGCCTGGGAGGGATGAGGTGCCAAGTGAGCTGAATGGAATCACTTGGCAGCACCGTAGGCCCAAGCCAGAGCTGCTCTGACATCCCAGGCCCAGGCCGTGCCACCCCTCCTCCCATCCAGAGAATGGTCAGCCAAGTCCCACCTAGATCCCCTCTGTGACTTGCTCGTAGGCCGGCAGCCTTCTAAAGGCACCATGTGGCTCTCATGTTCAGTAAACATAAAAACATAATTCATTCATAGAATTAATGGGGCTGGGGCCTGGGCCTGGGACAAACATTTTGCTCTTAGAGTAAACAGAAGGTCTTAAGGGGATCACAGAGAGCGGACGTGAGGGGACTTTTGCTCCCCAGGTTTTACTGTGTGCCTTTTTTGCTCACCACTGACTGAGATCAAAGAAATATAGACAGCATCTTAACCCTCAGGAAGTCGTCACGGGCACCCAAGAAACAGTGCTAAAGGGTCTGGACCACCATGGTGGGCCCTGTGGTGGGGAGGCTTCCTGGAGAAGAGCAGCCCAAGCTGGACCTGAAGCTTCAGGAGGGCTCACAGACCCCCGGTGAGCAGCAGAAAGTGCCGAAATCAAGTCCACGGCCATACCACCTTGAACATGCTGATCCAGAAGCTAAGCAGTGTTAGGTCTGCTTGGAACTTAGATGGGAGAAAGTCCAGAAGTAAAGCCCTGAGGGGGGACAGCAAGTGACTGGAGGGAAAAGGGGCCTGGCAGGAGGCTGCGCTGTGCTTTTATGGGTGGAGAATGAGATGAAAACCTAAAGAACTGTCATGACGGACAGACGTCAAAGACCCAGGCAAAGTCATTTGGGATTTGATCCTTGGCTTGTCTGCAAGGACCCCAAAGGCCTTTTTTTTTTTTTTTTTTTTTTTAAATACACAGGAGTTGTGTTTATTTTTGGAATCATTATCTCTTTTCTTTCACCTCTAGATAAGAACACTTTCTGGCCAGGCGTGGTGGGTCACGCCTGTAATCCCAGCACCTTGGGAGGCCGAGGTGGGCGGATCACTTGAGATCAGGAGTTGGAGACCAGCCTGACCCATATGGAGAAACCCCGTCTCTACTAAAAATACAAAATTAGCCAAGTGTGGTGGTGCGTACCTGTAATCCCAGCTACTCAGGAGGCTGAGGCAGGAGAATCGCTTGAACCCGGGAGGCGGAGGTTGTGGTGAGCCAAGATTGTGCCATTGCACTCCAGCCTGGGCAACAAGAGCAAAACTTTGTCTCAAAAAAAAAAAAAAAAAAAAAAAAAAAGAACCAAGTATCTTGGTTTCCAAGTGTCTGCTCTATGCCAGGTGCCAGTGCTGTACTAGACCCTGGATTTGAGATCCAGGCCTCTTCGCAGGCCTCTTTCTCTGAGTGTCTGTGGTACTTACACTGTTAACCATGTTCTATCCACATGCCAGGCCCACCAGGAGCTCCTTTCATTATTTTATTAATCCTCACAACCACCTTGTGAAGTAGGGAGAACCCTTAATCCTGTTTTACAGATGAAGAACAGACGCTCGTGGGGAGGTAAAGTGTCTTGACCAAAGTAATTCCAGATCTCAGCTTAAGAGCCTTACTCCAGGGCTTGTGCCTGTCGAGATTTCAGTTGCCATTAGGAGGGGCTGCCTGAATATGATGCCATTTCTAGGAAACAATTAGGGACATGCAAAAAGAAAGGAGTGTCCATTAAAGTATTTTTATAACAGCAAAAAATTGGAAACAGCATCATATCCAATAATGGGAGATTTGGTCACCATAAATTATGAAACATTCTATAGCCTCTCTGAAGCCACTAAAAGTAATGGTGTAGAAATATATAAACTGACAGGGCAAAATGTTCACAATATATTGCCGAACGGAAGAAAGCAGATTACAAACAATATGATTCCAATTTTATTAGATACTCATTTTCTACTTTTTCTACAGTGAGTATGCATTACTCGTGAAGTAATAATAATTTCAATTTATTGAACTCTTTCCTTCTGCCAGGCACCATGCTAAGCCCTCTATAGCTATTATCTTATTTAATTCTTTGTATCATTATCCCCATTTCACAGATAAGGAAACTGATGCTTAGAGAACTTGATTAATGTCCGTGTCATAGTTATTAAGTGGCAGAGGCAGAGATTTGAACTGAGATATGATTTTGTACAGTATGTACTCTTAGATACTATGCTACTCTGCTCTGCTCTTCTTTTAAAAAGTAAATAAAAAATAAAGTAATTTGGCTGGGTACAGTGGCTCACACCTGTAATTCCAAACACTTTGGG